TGTCTTGTATTTTTCAGTGTATAGGTCTTTCAACTCCTTCATTAGGTTTATTCCTTGGTATTTTATTCTTTTTCATACAATTGTAAATGGAATTGTTTTCCTGATTTCTCTTTCTGCTAATTCATTGTTCATATATAGGAATGCAACAGATTTCTGTGTATTAATTTTGTATCCTGCAACTTTGCTGAATTGAGTTATTAGTTGTAGTCATTTTGGGGTAGATTCTTTAGGGTTTTTATATACAATATCATGTCATCTGCAAACAGTGACAGTTTAACTTCTTCCTTACCAATCTGGATGCCTTTTATTTCTTTGTGTTGTCTAATTGCCATGGCTAGGACCTCCAGTACTATGTTGAATAAAAGTGGGGAGAGTGGGCATATCCTTGTCTTGTTCCTGATCTTAAAGGAAAAGCTTTTAGCTTTTCACTGTTAAGTAGGATGTTAGTTGTGGGTTTGTTGTATATGGCCTTTATTATGTTGAGGTACTTGCCCTCTATACCCATTTTGCTGAGAGTTTTTATCTCTGTCTTGCATTTTTTGTCAACATTTTATTATGAAAATTTCAAATTTACAGCAAAATTTAAAGAATTTTACAGTTATCTTGAAACCTGCCATGTAGCTCCTGCCATTAACATTTTTCTGTACTTGCTTTTCCATGTATCTTTTCATTTATCCATCTTGTTCTTATGTATATCAAGTTACAGATATTAAGCTTTCCCTTAAATACTTAGGTATGCACATTAGAGTTGAACACTTGATTGCATTTTTTTTCTTTCAAGAAAAAAAATTTACAGTGAAAAGCAGAAAATCTCAAGGATGCATTCATTTTCAGATTTTCACAAATGCCTATACCTGTGTAATCCTAGCCCCTGTCAAGATAGAGAATATCACCCCCTGAAAATTCAATGATGCCCTTCTCTATGCAGCCCTTACCTAGACCCCACCCCTAAGAAGCAAATACTGTTCTCTGTTGTTTTTCATCACAGTTTTGGATGGAAACTAACAATATTTTCCATCATAGAGTTTCCCTGTGTAGGGCCTATCACTATCCTATTAATGTATTTGATATGGAATAAACATGAAATGAGGGCAGTGAATGTATGTTTTGACACATAGTTTTGAGAATTTGAGGTAAAAAAAAATTTAAGCCATAAAAATATGTAGAGATAAATTTGACCAGGAAATTCATGTATTGGTGTCTTCTTTAATTTCTCTCATGAGTGTCTTGTATTTTTCAAGGATGTGTTATTTCAATTAAGAATTATTTCTTATACCAAGACATATTTACACTGCTGATTTTTCGTAGGTACAAATGATGCAAAATGTACACCTCGCCCCAGAGACAGATGAAGATGATCTTTATTCTGGTTATAATGACTACAATCCAACCTATGATACCGAGGTAAAAAAAAAAACATCTGTGTTTTATGTTGGTTTTTGCTAACTGGCTGGTTCATGAAGACTTTGGGTTTGAGGGTTCTGTTTTATTGTACTTTTGATTAAACTGATGAGAAGCCTAGAAAGTACTGTTACTAAAGACTCTACTAACTTCCACTAGTAGTAATAAATGCAGCAGAAAGGAAAATCATGAGAAAGATGATGGAAACAAATTAGGATCAATTATATACTTGTATTCTTCAGCACTATCTATGTGAATGTGTAAACTAAAGACTTAGATAACTTAATGTACCAAAAGTGAGTTCTAAATTTGAAAAATCATGTAGTTATTTATCTTCTAATTAAATTATACAAACATGTTACAGAAAATTAGGAAATAGAATTTAAGAAAGAAAAAAATTGAAATCATAGATGCTATCACCACCCAGGGATAAACATTAACTAACTTATAATTCATACCTTACCATATTTTCATGTGCAAATCTATGTATATCTCTATATTTTGGGTTAAATGGTATCATACTGCATGTATTGTTTTATAACCTGCTTTTTCTCTTTTCTGAGTATCCATTTATGTCAACAAATTTATACCTGTTTAATATTTAGTAATATAGTAACTTAAAAAATTATCAGTAAGACAAGTATTTGAATATTTTAAATCTGCTTGCATCATTGTAAGAAGTATAGTTTCTGAATTGTAAAAAGAAAATAAAACTATAAAATTGTCTTGAATTAGTATGTGAAAAAAATAAGGATGTGGGTACTAATTTACTTGCTAGTATAGAAGTATTAAATATTAGCTTTTCAAGGACCTTAAGCTAATTTAGGAAATCTCTTTCTATTCTAGAGTTTTTCATATAGCTTCTAGTCATTTGTTAATTCTTTTTTTTCCTCAGGAGAAAAATGGTAGTTTGTGAATGTGAGACTTAGAAAGAAATCAAGGAAAGCAAATAGAAACCATCCACTTACTCTATATGAAATAAAAATCTAGGACATACTGATTATTATAGAAAATATGAAAAATACAGAAGATTGGCAAAAAATAAATAAAATGATACAAATCTTGTCACTCAAAGATCATCTGTATTAGTCATATCATCTGACATTTTGCTATATTCCCTTATCTTTTAATACATGCAGGTGTTTCTTTCCCTATATACAAACACACACACATATACACATAGATATGATTATGTAGAATCATTTATAAAAATTTGTGTGAAAAACATAGGCATTTTCCTAAGTTAGTGTAAATTTTGAAAACCATTGAAATTTCCCCCTTCCTCCCAGTTTTAAGAGTTATATGTATAAAAAATATACATGCTTATTGTTGAAACACCTATAATTTCATCACTCCAAAATAACTACTGTTAACATTTTTTCATTCTGTTTTTCCTTCACGTATACATACAGAGTTTTCTTCTGACATGTTTAGAATTGAACGAGCATTTATTTTTGTTTGCTTATTTACATTCAACTACATCATAAGCAATGTCTTATGATACTAAAAATTCTATAATTTTATAATAAATAATAACAAATATAATTTTAATGGCTGCATAATACTGAATATATATAGTTGATTCAAACTATTTTCTGATCATAGGACATTTATTTCCAGTTTTTTATTGTAAATTACAATGCTGTGAACAATTTTATGCATAAATAATTTTAGTATTTTGATGAAACATTTCTATAGATAGAGTCCCAGAAGTGGAATTAATAGATGATGAATACAATCATTTCTAAACCACTAGAGAAACTTCCTAATTCCTTAGGTTATCACAGTATGGCTTAATTTCTTAATTTGAAGTTAAATATTCAGAATATCAGACAAAATAAACAGTAAGATAAAAATACTTGGTTTATCCATGGTTTTCTTGTATCTTAATTAAATGGAATAATAACAAGTTTAATATATAAGAATTAATTGAAGCATTTGGTAAAATGTTCATAGACCATACAAATTGTTAACCAAATCATGAACAAAGAAAAAACTATGAAAGTTGCGTTAGTTATTTTTAATTGGAGAGTTTGTTGACAATTTAGTTCATCATTTAGTTAGAATTGAGGTATTTTTTAAGTTTTACTACTAGTTTAGGTATATTAGGAGACTTTCTTTTCCTAAAAGATCCAAAGTAGTATAATTATGCTGAAGGTTGCCTTTGACTTTATATCTCATATGAAAGTGGCCTAGTTTCTGTGGTTGAGAATTACATACTCATTTATTTCATGTAGTTGATATGAAAGGTTATACAGATTATTTAAAATAAAAATTAAAAAGAAATGCACATAATAAAAGCATATTTAAAGTTTATAATGTTTATAACCTTGGTTATATAAACATTTGACCTTAATTGAGAATTTTAAAAAGTTGATATCAACTCTATCTTTTATGTATTGTTTGTATTTATTTTTTAATAATTTGAAAAAATATTTTTGTGGGAAGTAGATTGGAATAAATCAGAGGCAAGTCTAAGAACTGCCCATAAGATACGTATGAAGAGTTAGAACCGGAGTTTGTGTTGATGAAGGAGCAGAAAACAAAGGCTAGTTAGAAGATTTGGTGGCTGGTAAAACTGGATGCTTTTGAGAGAGTCTAAAAATGGCATTTTGTCTAAGAAACCCAGGAACACTGGTAACTTGCCCTTGAGTAGTGTTACTTTCCTCAAATGTCCTCAGGGGTCATATGAGTAAGGGTCAGGAATCAGCAAAGCATAGTAACATTTTATTTCAGGTGAGACTTGGATTCCAAATGGCTCAGCAGTTTGGACTCCTTGGAGCCCTTCATTTGCCTAGGTTATTATCCCCATACTGAACTTCAGACTTAACATCTCCAGTGAGATGAAATGTCCTAACACGTTCTCAGATAGAACTAGTAGCCATGGTGTGGCATGTGGAAGAAGAGAGGGGAGCGAAAGAGAGCACAGAGAGAGAAAAGGGAGGGAGAAAAAGAGATATGACTGTTCTTACCACTGTTAACTACTTGGCATAAAGAACAGAAGTACTTAATCTTTAAGCAGACATTAATGATAGATATCACTCATTTAAATGGTGGCTAATAAAAAGTCCTTAAAAATGACTTATATTATCAGTACGCCTCTTCCTAGGGTAAGGAGGAGACTTAATATTTTGGGTATAGTATAGGGGGTGATTTGAGGACACGAGTCCTTGGGCTCCTACTTGGATATCAACAGTTGGGGTCAGATGAATTTTAGAGGACCTTGAATACCAAACAGAAGAGGTTAAACATGTTTTTAAAAAAATTCTCATTTCATTTTGAATGTTAAATTTGCCTTTTTGTTTTAGGAATTGGAAAATGACACAGCTTTTCAGCAAGCTGTGAGAACTAGCCATGGCAGAAGACCACCAGTAAGTGAATTTTTTTTATTGTGGTAAAAAACACATACCATAATATTTACCATATTAACTGTTTTTCAATGTACAGTTAAGTAGTGTTAAATATTTTCTCACTGTTGTGAAACAGATCTCCAGAACTTTTTCATCTTCTCACACTGAAACTGTACCCATTAAACAACTCCCCACATACCCCTTCCCACAGCCCCTGGCAGCCACCCTTCTCTGGTTTTGTCTTTGAATTTGACTGCTTTAGATATCTCATATAAGTGGAACCATATAGTATTTCTTTTTTTGTGATTGGCTTATTTTACTGAGCATAATTTCCTCATGGTTTTTCCATGTTGTATCATGTGACATTATTTCTTTTCTTAAGGCTGAATAATATTCCATTGTATGTATAGATCACATTTTGTTCACATGGACACTTGGGCTGCTTCCACTTCTTGGCTATGGTGCTATGAATATGGGTGTGCAAATATCTCTTTGAAACCCTGTATTCAATTCTTTGGGTACATATCTGGGAATGGGATTGCTACATCCTATCTTAATTGTATTTTAATTTTTGAGGAACCTGCATACTGTTTCCATAGCCATTACACTGTCTTACAATCTCACTAACACTGCACAGGATCCTAATTTCTCCTTATCTTCAATAAAACTTGTTATTTTCTTTTTTTTTTGACAGTAGCAATTTTAATGGTTATCTGGTGATTCTCATTGTGGTTTGATGTATTTTTCTCTGATAATTAATGATGTTGAATATCTTTTTATGTGCTTTTTGTCATTTATATATCATCTTAAATAGAAGAAATGTCTACTTAACTCCTTTGCCTATATTTAGACTGGCTTGTTTGATTTTTTGTTGCTGAGTTGTAGAAGTTCTTTATATATTCAGGATAGTAACCCCTTATCAGATATAGGATGTGTAAATATTTTCTCCATTCTGTAGGTTGCCTTTTCACTCTGTGTTCTGTAATGCACAAAAGTATCTAAGTTTAATGCAGCTCCGTTTGTCTATTTTTGCTTTTTTTGCCTGGCATCATATTTTGCTTTTGGTATCATATCTAACAAATCATTGCTAGGTCCAATGTCATGAAACTTTACCCCTATTTTTTCTTCTAGGAGTTTTAAAGTTTAGGCCTATGTTTAGGCCTTTAATCCATTCTGAATTAATTTTTTTATGTGTGTTAAATAAGGATCTACCTTTGCATGTTTATATCCAGTTTTCCTAGTACCATTTATTGAGGAGACTGACCTTTCCCCTTTGTGTGGTCTTGGCATCCTTCTTGGACCACATACACGTGGGCTTTTTCTGGGCTCTTTATTCTATTCCATTGTTTGTTGTTATGCCAGAACTACACTGTTTTTATTACTGTAGCTTTGCAATGTTTTAAAATCAGGAAGTTTGTCTCTGAATTTTCTTCTTTTTCAGAGTTGTTTTGACTATTCAGAGTCCCTTGGATTCCAGATGAATTTAGGATGAATTTTTCTAGTTCTTCAAAAAATGACATTGAGATTTTGGTAGGGATTACACTGAATCTTTAGTTTGCTGTGGGTAGTATGGACATCTTAACAATATTAAGTTTTCCAACCTATGAACAGGGATGTCTTTCCATTTATTTGTATCTTCTTTAATTTCTTTCAGCAATGTTTTATAGTTTTTAGTATATCCTGTAAGTGGCATTTAAAGATCAAATAATTTCTTTATGTTTTTGATAGTGTAAATATTATTATTTATATAAGGGATTGGAATATGATCACTTAAAATACTCATTGTTAAAAAATGCTTGCTTTTCCAATTTTTAAAGTACATAAATATTGATCCTTTAAAACATTGGGGCTTAATTTATAAGTTACTCCTCCTTTGGATTAATGAATTCCCATTAATTAACCTCCCATCAGAACTTAAATTGCTAGAGTAATTTTTTCCAGTGTTATTATTAAAATTTTTGTGTATGTCATGCAAAGCAGAGATATCTGCCTTCTACAGTGCATGAAATTTGCCAAGCTTCTTTTGGAGTTGAAAATAAACAAGGTTGACACTAAGTAAAACAGTGAAGAATAGAAAGTTCTATCCCTAATATGCTATGCCTAATATTCCTTTTTTAAAATTGCTTCTCTCCATTTATCATCTACTATATAGCAGTGGTTCTCAATTCTTCTCTACAACTACCCCAGGGGACCTTTAGCCTGGAGGTACTTTTGGCTGTCACAGGTAGGGTGAGTGCCCCAGCATCTAGTGGGGAGCAGGCAGAGATGCTGCCAAACATCGTACAATGCACAGGGCAGCCCCCCGCCCCGCCCACAGTAATATCTGGCAAAAGCTCAGTGGTGCCTAAGTTGAGAAACTGATAGAGAATAATACCTCTGCTTTAGATGAAGTATCCTCAGCTTTTGTTTTCCTTGAAATTGTCACTTTCTCCCTTAGCCCTGCCACACATATTTAGCAAAATAAATTATTAGTTTGCCCTTCACATTTATGTAAGTAAGTTTAGTGTGTGGTTTCCTGCAATGAATGTAGCAAACTACAGTGAGAGGACATAGTTCTCTATAAGACTGTCCTCACCTCTGACACCAACTGCAAGTTCAGGGAGTCCCCAAACCACCTTCAGGTTCGATAGTTCTCTGAAAATGCTCACAACACTCACTGAAAGCTACTACATGCACCATTTATTGCAGTGGAAGGATACAGGTTACAATTCGCCAAGGGATGAAACACACAGAGCAGAGCCTGGGGTCCAAATGTGGAACTTCTGGCAGTCCTTTCCCTGTGGAATGCTGGATGGCATTAACTCCTCTAACCACTGTGCATGACAGTACTTCCAGAATATTGCCAACCAGAAAAGGCCACCCACAACTTTGGTATCTAGCATCTTTACTGGGATTCCATCACACACTGTATGGCAGACCTTTAGTTTCCAGCCTCTCCTGAAGGTTTAGGCTAATACCTCTGGAAGTTGCAATAGAAAGTTCTATCCCTAATATGCTATGCCTAATATTCCTTTTTTAAAATTGCTTCTCTCCATTCATCATCTACTATATAGCAGTGGTTCTCAATTCTTCTCTACAACTACCCCAGGGGACCTTTCATAAATCTCCAAAGCTCCTATCATAAATCACATTGATACACTGTCTGGTGGCCAAATAAAGATGTATCAGGCAGGATATCCCAAGGGCCTAGAGACCACCTCCCAGTAGCCCAGGGCAAAGACAGACCTTTCTGGATAAAGTTAATTCTTGTGTACACATTCCACAAGCTGTATTTTAATTTTAAGATTACCTTCATTATAGAAGGACAAATCATAGATTGAATTCTTCCATTAGATTAATGACTAGACTATAAGCTTTTTGAAGAGGCAGACCGTCTTATTCATTGTTCTTTTCCTGCTTTATAAATCCTTATCACATGACAGTAAATAAGCAAACATTGTCCTCAATTGAGTGATTTCAGGTGTCAGACATTAGGTGATCAGTTTGTCAGGCTGGTCCTTTAGCAATCTTTAGAAGTGACTTCAGAGACCCTTATGAGGAAAATGATGCCTGGAGATGCCAAAGGTCTAGCAGCTTTCTGTTTCTGGGGTAGAGCTTAGGTCTGTTGACTCCCTGATGAATGATATTTTCATCACACCCTATTTACTATAATAAAGAGGAAAAAAACTATAAATTTTGTATGAAATGTACTAGGTGCACTTAAGAGGAATAAGATTCTAGCAAACTCCAAAGGACCATATAATCTTAGGAAGGAAAATAAAATGGACAAAGGTATTCTAAAGCATAATGTAGTAAATGTTGTAAAAAAGAATACAGATTGCTATGCGACCGCAAGGAGAGGTTATTTATCACACATTAGAACAAGCAGAAGAAGCTGCTTAGGAGATACATTTACAGTTGAATGTTAAAAGATATATACAATTAAGACTGACCTTGAGATATGGGAGGAAAGACATTGCAGGTGAGGGTGTTCAGTGAGTGAAGGAAGAGACAGTGGAGGATCTGCTCTATCCAAAGAGATAGATCTGAATCTAAAAATAAAAAATTAAAAAAAAACAATTAGTAAGTAGTTAAAAAGAATAATGGGCTCTTACCTTCACTTTGTTTTCATGGGAAAAATTGCTGATACCCATATCCTTCCTCTTCAGCTTTAAGATGGAATTAGGTCAGTTAGGTTTGTTAATGGTTTTATTCAAGTGTTCTATATTTTTACTGACTTTTTTTGGTGGTAGGAGCCTACTAGTTCTATTAATGAGAAATATATGGTCAAGTTTTATACTAGATTATGGATTTATTTCCTTTTTTAGGTTTTTGCTTCATGTATTTGGGGTAAAAGTATTTAGAATTGTTATAATTTCATGGTAAATTGAGCCTTTCGTTTATGAAATGTCCTATCTCTAGTAATGCTGTTTGTTCATTTTGTCAGATATTAGTATATTGCTATACTACATAAGCTCTCTTTTGCCTAGAGTTTATATATCTTTCCCATCTTTTTACTGCCACCTATTCCATATCCATATATTTAAAATGTATTTCTTATTAGCAGCATGTAATTGAGTTCTTTCTTTTAAAATACAGTCTGATAATCTTATATTTCTAGTAAATTATTTGGTCCATTTACATTTAATGAAATTACTGATTTGGTTTAAATTTATTGTGCTACTCTTTGCTTTTTGTTTTTTCATGCCACTTTTATGTTTCATTTTTTTCTCCTTGCCTTCTTTTCTTTGTTATTTATTATTCCATTTCTCCTCACTGATATTGGCAGTTTATACTCTAACCATTCTTTTAAATTCTTTTAATTTCCTTAAGATTATACTCATCTTTAACTTACTGAAGTCTAGTATAAATTTGTATTTTACTACTTCCTGCACAATGCCAGAATTTTACATTACTTTCATCTCTTTTTTAGTTCTAGAATTTCCATTTATTCCTTTCTTAAGAAGTTGTCAATCTTGTCTTTTAATTCATTGACTATATTAAGCATAGTTATGTTAAAGTCTGTGTCTGATATTTCCATTATATGTATCATCTTCTAAGTTTCTTTTATTTCTCTTGTCTTTTGTTTAGGTAGTCTTGCCTCCTGTATGTCTGGTTGTTTTGGTTGAATGCTGGACCTTGAAATGAAAACTTTTAGAGATAATTTAAATCTGTATGTCTGTGCTGTCCAGTATGATAACCACTAACTACTTGTGGCTACTTACATTTAAATTATTTAAAACTACATAAAATTAAAAAAATCAAAGGCTTGTCATACAAGCCACATTTCAAATGCTCAACAGCGATGTGTGGCTAGTGGCTATTTTATCAGACAGTGTAGGTATAGATCATTTCATCACTGCAGAAAAGTTCTGCTGGATAGCACAACTCTCGGTAATCTCATCTTTCACTAGAGAATCTACTTTTTGCTTATGGCCCTAGAGGTACAAAGAATCCTGAATCACACTAATCCAGTTAAGTTTGAGATGATTCTAAATTGGACTTATACCTTATGAGGACTGGTATACTTCTAAGTTACTTTTCAGTCTTAGAGTATAGCCTTTTGAGATCATGATTTAAAGCCTGGAGGGTTACCAGGGCTGCCACTTTGGCAGGCCCCCAACTCCAGTGTTCACCCCTTCATGTCTGTGAGGCTGTAAAAATATGTTCAGCTTCTCAGCCATACCTTTGGAATTAGCACATGCCTGCAGGAGAAGAGCAGGCCCAAAGTTTGGCTCACCTCTCTAGCCTTCTCTTTTCCCTGTCTGAGGCCGTATGATTCTTTATTAACTTGAAGGTTTGCTAATATACTCAAACTGTTATTTCACAAAAATATTTTCATCCTGAGCTCTTGTAGTTGTTCTTAGTGGGAAAGTTATTTAAAACAATAGTCCATCATAGCCAGAAGTAAAACTCTTCAAATGATATTTCAAACAAATGCCTAACAACTAACATTTTTAGGACATTGTCCTGTTTGATTCCAACTACAATTTAGTGATCAGCATAGTTTATATCCTTATTTCAAATATGAGAAAATTTAGGTTCAAAGAGATTAAATAAACACAGCTGGTAGTAGAACTGAGATTCAGGCCCAGACTAGTGGCTGGTAGCAGTAAGTACACACAATGAATGATGCATCCCTGAAAACTAATCTTTCTTATCGGCACCTGAGGTTATTCTTAAGTCCCTTTCTCCTTTAAAATGAATCCTAGAATAAGTTTCCTTTTCCATATTTTAAAAACTCAGGCTCCTCAATATTTAGGATAATTTAAGATAAATTATCCTAAATATTATATAAATGTTTCTCTACTGATGAATCCATATTTTCCATTTCTTTTCCAGTTTTCTATTATACAGCTTTATCTGAATTCTGTTAATTATGTCTTTTTTCCTCCCCAAGGTAACTGCTAAAATACCAAGCACAGCAGTTCCTAGACCCATAGCTACTGGATATGGGGTAGGTTGTCTTATGCTGAAAATGTTAAGATGCTTTTTCTCATGTTAAGTTCACCTTAGGCAGTTTGAAGTAATTTTGGCTGTATTTCAGTCCATGACTCAGATATATTTTCCAATTGGGGTAGTTACGAACATTATAAAAGTCTAATTTGATTAATGGCTTTGAATAGTTTAATCATTTTAGTTTTGTAAATATATCAGAAATATTTTATTGCCGTTTTCTGTTTGTAACCTTGTGTTGTTGATTTGACTTTCATATTCTATATAATATTTTCTATATAATATAACCAAGTCTTATGTGTATTTCATTCATACTTTTTATGTAGAACTAGATGTTATATAAATATAATGATGTTTTAATTTTTACTGATAAATATGAAAAGATAAAATTTAAGAAAAATTTCAGTCATATATTTGCATCTTTCTCTAATTTGAGACCTTTGGACAGAAAATGTAATATAAAAATCCGTAAAGGAAAATCTCTTAAATCTTGCCCACATTGAATGTTTCAGCTTAATATGAGATAATAGAGAAATGGAGGAATGAGGTAGAATAGCATTTCCTACTTCTTATGACACTATTTCTCATGGGTCAGAAAAATGGTTTCAGATAGACCCTAGAGGTCTGGGGCACTTATCTTCATAGTGTCCCTTTATATGAATGGAGAAAATAGCCTTATACATAATGTAACATGTAATATGTCAAATGAAACATGCCTTTATTAGTCAGCCTAAGCATGTTTTCCTCATACATTTGATTTGTGATGGCATTCAGAACAAGAGATAGTAAACTTTCTCTGTGAAGGGCCAGTTTAGTCTTTGCAGGTCAGATAATCATTGTTGCAGCCACCCAACTCTGGTTTGTAGTGCGAAAGCAGTCATAGACAATGTGCAGATAAATGGGAATGGCTGTGTTCCAGTAAAACTTTATTTACAAAAGCTAAGGGTTGTAGTTTGCCAAACCCTTTGTTAGAGTTTTATTGTTTGATTCCATATCCTTGGGTAATAAATGTTTAGGTTTATTTGCCAACAGATTGCAGGAAAAGTTATAAAGAAAACTTTTATAACTTGGTTTATAAAGTTAAATGTGGATATTTTTGGGAATCATTTTAACTTTAGTTTCCTGTTTATTAGTCCAAGACATCCCTGGCATCATCAATGGGAAGACCAGTGACCGGGGCTATTCAGGTATCTCTGTCATGTGCTGGTTTATTTTGGGCCTCTTGTGACTTATAATATTATAATAAAAGTTTTTTTTTCTTTATTGTATTTTTTAAGTGTTAAAGAAGATGTTACTTATGTAATAACCCTGACTTTTTAAAATTGTGGGCTGAAGTTTGGGCTGTTCAAAATCTTTGGAGGCAAAGTCTCTGGATTTACTTATTTAGGCCTCAAATGAGATCCGTCTGGAGAGTGGACATAGGATGGTTAGTTTCCTTGTATGGTGTACTCTGGGACCCATTTTTCCTGTGCTATCATTTACACCAATTTCTGTGGTTTCTCTCATAGGCATACAGGAGACCAACCAAAAGTAGGGGAGTAGCCAACTAATAAGCTATATAGTTATATAAAGTGCTTTATAAAAATCTATGAGTTTTTTTCTTTTCAAACTGGGAGTAAGCCCAGGTAAAGCAGTTGAAATATAGGAGGAAGGGAAAGCAGAGACAAGATTGACAAATATTCTGAGGAGCAGAAATAAGGAATACATGATAGCAATTAAAAATCAGTATTAAAAATTAGGACTATATTATGTGTCATGTACAGAACTATAAATAAGATGTAGATCTTATTTAAGAACACTTTTTAAATGATTCTCATTCTTTTAAGGATGGAGTTACTAGACCTATGACTGCAGTGAGAGCAGCTGGTTTTACCAAAGCAGCTTTGAGAGGTTTGCCCTAATAGTTTTTCAGATTTTTACATTTCTTTACTGTTTTTATATATGGAAATATTATAACCATTTTAAATAAAACCTAACATTTTTATTTAAGGTGTGCCATTATTTTAGGTGCCATTAAGAAAGGAAAGCAATGATGAAATATTCTGCATTTCAATTGGGATGGTAGTCACTTCAACCTGAAATTTGTCAGAATGTCCTGAATTGTACATTAAAAGTTTGTGCATTTTATTTTATATAAATTAGAGGCCAATTAAAAAAATTAAAGGTGAAAATAGTATTTAAATATATAAGTTAAATAATAATTTCAAAATTAAAATATTATTGCAAAAATTAATGTTTATTATACTAATAAGGAAAATTAAAAAGCTAATACCAGATGATTATTCACATGATTTATAATTAAGAATCATAATAGGGGTAGGTTACTGTGGGGATGAAGTAAATACTGAGAGAGTATCTCATTTTTGTTTTTACATGTTTTATTTACATAGTTTTGTGTATGTTAAAAATCTTACCAATTTCTCGATGTATGAAATGTTTAGGTAAGCATAATAAATATCCCGCCCATTTTAATAGGTAAGTTAAATAATTTGTGCAGGATTTCACATGTTGTTCAATTTTGCTTGGTTGCAAATTAAATATGAACTCTTGAATCATTTCTCAGGTTCTGCATTTGATCTCCTCGGGCAGGCACGGGGTCCTGCTCCTCCTCTGGAAGCTAAAACTGAAGATAGGTGTGCAAGTCCTTGTGCTGTTGCTTTGTTGTTGTTGCATATTTTTTATTTTAATTTTCCAAATATGCAATTCTTAAGTATTTTAAAAGTTTATGTCAGCCGAATAGTAATGAAATTATCATCCCCAGTTCTTGAAACTAGCAAAAGACTCAAGTCTAAGAAAAACAGCAATCTGTGTTCTGTGCACTTTTATTGTAATACTATTTGACTTGAAGATATGGTTAACTCCTGCAGGCCAAATGGCATTGCAAGTCTAATAATATATGCTAGTATTAGAAGGATGTTTCAAAGAAAAAATTAAGAAAAATATAAGAAGTTCACCTGTCATATCAACATTGAGAAATTTTTTAATAGAATTACCTTAGTTTTGTGCTAGTAGCTAGAGAGTTACCAAAAAGGTACAGCATAAATTCAGCTATGTACATTGACTGGTATCTGGCATTTAAGTACCATGGATATATATACTTCACAAATAGTAATAGAGGGCACCATATAATGAGTGCTCACGGTGTGCCAGGCACTGTGCCGGTGCTGTGCAGAAGGGAAGACTGACCTGTTATCATTAGTTTATAGAGATAGTAAATGAAGCACAAACATCTTAACTTGGTAACACTAATAAATGGCAGGACTGAGGTTTGAACCCAGACTGTTTCCATATTTCCACTACATTATTTGCTTCTCTATAATAGATATTTTTAAATTGTAGTTTTTAAGCCCAATATTTGGGCTCTTGTATAAATTACACAATTTCTGTTTTTGACCCACAAGGAACATGTATAGAAAATCAGTTTACTTTGTATCCTAGTTAATGACAGCATGTTTGCTAATAAAAGTTTGTTATTTTATTTAAATATTATATCATTTAGGATCCTTTCAGCTATTAATAACAAAAGCCACATTAGAAAAGCACACACACAATAAAAACATTTATTATCTTATGTAATAGCAAGTCTGGAGGAAGGCCAATTCTAGCATAGTTACATTAACTGCTCAGTAGTCTTATTCGGGTCAGCTTAATATTTGTCTTTGATTCTCTTGGCTTTTCTCAAGAGCCTGCCTATCCTTATGATGCCAAGAGAGCCATGAGAGGTCAAAATCCTTGTGCAGTTGATAAAGCCTGGAGTCAGAAAGTTCCCAGCATCAAGTCCCATTTAAAAAGCAAAGAAAATTTTTTCAGGAGCCCTCAACCCAAAAGCAGATGTGTATGTCTTATTGGCCAGAAATGTATCACATGATCATGACTGAACCAAACATTAGGCAAGAGAATGAGTCTTTGGTTAGCTTAGATTCTACATGCAAGGAAGAAGGATGGCAGGCTCTTGGGTGGGTTAGATGTCCAACACTGTCTGCATATAGAGTTCATTTTTCTGGTATTCTGATAGGCACAGGATAGTGAGTGTCTTCATAAAGTTCCCTCACAGATTTTTAGCTTTAAATTTTTATATTTATATTTTAAGTTTAATAATAATATGTAAGCAACACTTAAAGACATTTATTAGAATATTTTACACAATAGAAAATAGAATTCTGTACTGTTGTAAATTTTATAAAACCACCTTCTATTATACTTATTGCTCATTTAGAATTTTGCAGATCTTTATAAACTAATAAAACTTGTATCCCACTTGACTGAATTTATAGTCAGTTTCCACAAAGAATCTGAATCTCTATACAAAGCTATGCTGTTAAATTTCCTGTGTTCTCTTTAAAATTCCTTTTCTAGGGAATTAGAAGAACTACTATGTATTCTGATATATTCATAGTAAAATTTTATTTAGGCACTGATGCATGTTCAGAGTATTTGTGGTATTTTGCTGGAAGAAAATGGTAGCAAGAAAACATTAATGCAGTTTTTGAAACATGACTATATTTGCAATTACTGGAGTCAGGATTTTTAAACTTCTTCACCTTGTTAGAAATCTTCTTGGCATACCTGTCTGGTAGTAAATAATAATTTTTATCTCTTTTATGGGGACTTCATTTTTTCTAATCATAAGATAAACTTTTCATTTCCCATAGAATCTGAAGAAAGGATCTATTTTCTTTTTGGTATGATAATTAATAGCATGGGTCCTGGAGTTACCTTATTTGGGTTTAAATCCTGGCCCTTTAACTTACTAGCTGTGTGACCCTGGGCATAATACTTAACTTTAAACTTCAGTTTTCCTATCAATAAAATGAGAATAAATGGTAGTACTTACATCAAATGTTATGAGGATTAAATGACATAATTAGGGTAAAGCATTTAGCTCAGTGTTCAGTCATACTTGTGCTAAATAAATGTTAGCTGTTTTATTATTGTGAGTTACATATATATATTATTATGAATTATAATGATTAAAAACAGCTCTTTAATGCCATTTATACATTTGTCTTATCTATGACCTGTTCTTAAAGTTTAAAAGCACATAATGGACAATTTTAAAAGTAAATGAAATTTTAGTATATGTTATTAGTGGTTAAATGATCAAAGTACACCTGCTTTTTTCTTAATAGTCCAGAAGAAAAAATTAGACAATTAGAGAAGAAAGTGAATGAGTTGGTAGAAGAAAGCTGTATTGCCAACAGTTGTGGAGACTTAAAATTGGTAAGCTCATAAACTAATAGGATTCAAAATTATGAAGTGTGTATATGTATGTGTGTACTTTTATGTATGCACACATACAAGCAAATGTACAGTTTCCCCTGTTATTTGAAAGTAGAGTGTTCCTATGAAACCTTTTGTAAGCTGAAATGGTGTAAAGCAAATAAACAACTACCATTAATTAATATTGAAAATTTTTTGAGCATCCCCAGACCCATAAAATAACATCTTAGGCTTCTCTGATACTGTAGGACACATCTTGTGAATGGATGCACAAAATAAATTGAGATAAAGCCCAGACACTCACAGACACAGTTGAAAGCTGTGGCTGCTTGGTGCTGAGAAGCTGTGTGGTTCCTGGGGAGAGAGGTTGGCGGTGCCACCCTTTGCTGCTTGGGGTGTGTGCTGCCTCTTTAATGGCTCACTGCAGAACAACCACACTGAACCCTGTTTTTGCCTTTTTTTGTAAATGCAGAAATCCTCTTCAGATTTCTCTTGGTTAGCATAACAGGTACTAACGTAGGTCTCATAAAAGCAAAGGGGAGTAACGCGAACTTTTGAAAAGTAGGGGATACCTGTATAGGTAAATATTTTTCTTTTGCTATTGACTGGTCTAAGGGTTTTCACTGAAGCAGTTATTTTGTAACTATTTCATAAGCTCTGATGTAGAAACCATTGCATGATTTTGTAATTTTTGACACAGTTATTTTGGAAGGAAAAAATTTCTAATGTATTGGCTGATTAAATTTTGCAGACTGGTAGACTACTGGATAGATTCATAGCCTGCTGGAAGGCATAGCTACTGTGACCAACAGGCAGTGCTAAGGGGTATTATCTTATTTAAGCTTCACTATCCTAAAATATTTTTTCCTAAGTAAACTGCAAAATCATAGTTTGCTTTTTGGGAATCTAACTCTGCTTTTTTTTTCCTCTTAATTTGCTTTGTTCACATTACTTTGATTATCATACTATATAATTTGTGACTTAGTTATCAGATTAATGAATGCCATTATAAAGAGTTGTTCAGTATCAAAAGCTCCTTTTATTGGGCATTGAACTATTGCTTTTTTATGTAGTTAAAAAAAAATAAGTCCCATGTTGAGTTAATCTGTCTGTGGTTAGTCTTTCATCAGAAATCAACAAAAGGTTTTTGGCATTCTGAGCAGGATATGAGAGCCAAACTAAGCATCTGTTGTAAATTGGGTGGCAGTTATCCTTTGACTTTTCTGTATTTTGAGCATCCCAGAGACTAAACAAATCCAGTTAAACTCATATCTCATGAGAAGGAGATTGATTTCATGAGAAAGATTCAGGACTGGAAGGAAAAAGTAAGTAAATAGACATTGTCAAACCTATAAGGTAGTAGAAGGTGTGGTGATGAACTTGGCTTGGGGCAAATGTACTCTATATTTTGTCCCTCATACTTCCTTTTCTTTCTGAGAAAAAAACATGCACCACATTTATGATGGTGAGCTCCAGCTTAAACACATACTTTGTGTTCTTTTGTTCTAAAGGGAAGTTTGTAGTGAGAGTACATACAACAGGGCATCCCAGAACCCAAAGGTGGGTAGTGCATCCAGCCAAGCTTTACACAGGTATTCCCCAAATGTGTGAAATGCTCATAATGAAAGCTCAAAGGAATTCACAGAATATAAACCTGGTTTCAGGCCTTAGAAAAGGCAAAGGATGCAGGAAGAAAAGAGAGAGTCTTGGTGAGACAACGAGAACAAGTTACAACTCCAGAAAATATCAATTTGGATTTAACTTACTCAGTAAGTAAGAATAATTATTGAGTAAAATTATTTTGACTAGGTTTTTTATATTCCAGGAGTCTTTCTTCTTTTTTCTTTCTGGTTTTATTTTATTTAAAAAATCTTATTGAACCTCAGGTGGCCAGAATTAGAGTAATAATCTTTAGTTATGAGACATTTTGTCTTTGGTCTGTGCAAAGATCTTTTATTTAGTTAATTAGTTGTTTTTAATAACTTAGTAAGTACTCACAAACCCTCCATCCAGTGATAAGACTGCTAATATTTATGCTCTAGTCATCCTGGTTAGTTTAATGAGATTCTAATGTGAACTTTGTAATCTGTAATTTTTCAAGAATTGCAAACTAGACAAATAAGACAATGTTCTGTGAGGGTAATAAAAAAAAAAAGCTAAGTTCCAGAAAAATTTCTGTTTATACTGCTGTTTTAAAGGGTGTATTTTCAGTGGGAAAAATCTTCATATGCCAAACAAATGGAAAAGGCCATTTGAAACTTTGAATAAGAAGAATTTTTAAATGTTTACCACTTATAGCTAATAGTTATAAATCCCATGGAATCTTTAGACTAAGTAATAATTTATGATCTTTTTTTACATCTAGAAACTTAATTTATTATAGTTATTATTTAAATTATAATTTTTACATGTAGAGAAATACTATACATATTAAGGTTTAAGCTATTTCCACATGATGATTAATTTACACCTACAAAGAGAATTTGGTCCACTATCTTGCTTATTCCCTTTATCACCAGCAACATTAACAGTGCACACTTATTCTTTGTAGGTGCCCCTGAGATTAATGGATGGCAAGTACTATGTAAGTTAGAACAAATACATAAAAATTTAAGGTGAAATTTAGAGGTCAGCTCTCTCTACCTACCTTAATGTTATGGTTAATTTGGAATGCAAGAAATTTCCCTGTGTATTTCATTTCCTCATTGGTTGGGTATTTTGATATAAACAGTGAACTTTCTTATAAGATTTTAATCTCTGGAAAGATAGGCAAAAAGTGCCTCAGCTGGTCATTATCTGTCTTTTTAAAGTATTTTTTTCCTTAGGTTCTTTTCAATTTGGCCAGTCAATATTCAGCTAATGAAATGTATGCTGAAGCACTAAACACATATCAAGTTATAGTGAAAAATAAGGTGTTTAGCAATGCAGGTAGGTGTATACAGTCAGTTTTTCTAATACGTATAGTTCTTTTATAGTGTTATTTACACTTCCTCACTGTATGCTTCCATATCATGAGATGATTTATGCTCTGAGCAAATTTATATTTATATAAAGTTGTCCTGCTTAAAGTAAATATTTATGAAAATCCACATAAATACGAATGAAGAAACATAGTTGGTATGAGGTACACTGCCTAATAGTAAAAAACAAAAAATGTATTCTGTGATCACAGGTATAATGAGCCAAGGCAACCCCATTGAGCTGGCTTTCCCTTATATAATTTGTCCCAAAGACACTATAGTTGATATTTAGCATTTATATTGTATAACTTTTTGGTAACAGTATAAAAGTGTATCATTTTCTTTTTTTTAATAGTAAATGATATATATTTTTCATTTTGGTATCATTAATCTGCAATTACATAAAGAATATTATGTTTACTAGGCTCCCCCCTTCACCAAGTCCCCCCAACATACCCCTTCACAGTCACTGTCCATCTGTGTAGTAAGATGCTGTAGTATCACTACTTGTCTTCTCTGTAATGCACAGCCCTCCCTGTGCCCCGCATGCACTATACATGCTAATTGTAATGCCCTCTTTCTTTTTCCCCACCCTTATCCCTCCCTTCCCACCCATCCTCCCCAGTCCCTTTCCCTTTGGTAACTATTAGTCCATTCTTGTGTTCTGTGATTCTGCTGCTGTTTTGTTCCTTCAGTTTTCCTTTGTTCTTATATTCCACATATGAGTGAAATCATTTGGTACTTGTCTTTCTCCTCCTGGCTTATTTCACTGAGCATAATACCTTCTAGATCCATCCATGTTGTTGCAAATGGTAGGATCTGTTTTTTTCTTATGGCTGAGTAATATTCCATTGTGTATATGTACCACATCTTCTTTATCCATTCATCTACTGATGGACATTTAGGTTGCTTCCATATCTTGGCTATTGTAAGTAGTGCAGCGATAAACATAGGGGTGTATCTGTCTTTT